GTTGTGCAAATCTGAAACAGTCCATTTGAGACGTTGACTTTAATCTTGCTATTCTGGATTGGGGTGTTGATGAAACATGAAAATTTGGTACGCCGGGATACAGTTTCTTCGTGTGAAGCTTTCGCGCACATTACTGGCAGATATTGGTTTACCAAGTGATGCTGCAACCAGTTGTGAAGGTCGTCTGTTGGTTTCGCTTGTTACTATAGCAATATATCAATCTTCAGTAGGGGTGGGAACATTCGGTGTATCGAACACAGATTATTGAACAACTATTTGACTTGTTTAGAAATGTTTTCATGTTCAAGAAATTACCGAAAGATCAGAGCCAAAGAAAACAGCGACATCTTTAGCTGGCAGTACAGCTTCAATGAGTCCGGCCGCACGAAAGTACTCACTATCTGCCATTTGTCTTCTTTCAGCTATAGAAACACGAATATCTTCAAAATTTATATTACGAAAGTTATAAACATCTCATATTAACATTTAAGTGAATCTCATCAAACCCTTCAGATTGCTGGTGTTTTCAACTACTGCCTACATAGCATATGTTAGGACAGTCAGTCATGATTAGTATCAAACGATACTTACGTAGTTAAATCTGCATCTGCAGCGATTTTCAGTCACTCATACTGAATTATGATTTCGAAAATTGCTAACTTGTATTGCGTGCTTAATTTCTGAAGTCAATGTGCAAAAAGGATTCATTTAATTTTATGATGAATTGACTTCATTTCTCTTCTTTATTTGTATGATTATTTTAAAATATAAATAATTATAATGATATTCATGATAAAAATGAAACCGTGACATAGAAGCCACTGTTCTGAATGCATATATTTTAATTAACAATCCTTTTGCCCTTTAAGAGTATCAAAATACTGCAAAGAAGTTAATATATCGAATCATTTTGTTATGATGATAAGCAGTATATGCATTAAGACTACTAAGTGAGGCAATGAGGTAGAGAGAATTAGTGCCTTAGTATAATATTCTTTTTTGAGATAGATGAATGCTCGTAACGATTTTAAGCTGTATATTTTATACATCTCCGCTTTCATGCTAAAATTAAACTTATCTTTAACTGCTTAAAATAACTATTAAACTTCTTTCATCGAAAATAAATGTTACTTTTTTTGCAACTTCCAGAAGTGTGTGAATTGCAGGAAGAATATTCATTTTAGTATGGGGAAAAACAAGAATGGTAAAATTCAAGATGCTCTCGTGAGTAAATCATCAAATTTCGTTCTCTATGAATTACGTCAACAATTTTTTTGACTGAAGATCATTGCGCTTGTGGAAATCTTTTTAATTATATGAAGATTATCGAGATGCAGATTAACAAAACAGTGCTGCTTAAAAAGAGCGTTCTGTTGTTCTATTATTATTAAATGATATCTTTAATTTATCATTCCTTTTATCTGCGAAAAACTTTCTTATGTATGCTTAACTACTTATATGCTGCTAAAACTGGTAAAAAATTGACGTCGCAAGCTGTCAGCTTGGTTTTTCTTTATTGGTAGGTGAAAATAACGAAAGAATCCTCATGCATTCTTGGGCCAAGTGCATGTGATCTGGATTCGTTAAAGTTCTAGTTAGATTTTAGAGTGTAATTATTTCGCGTATGTTTTTTTAATTAAAATCTAATAAAAACAACATTAAAACTAGCTAAACATGTAAAAACAATCTAACAGTTAAAAGAGATATTAGAATATAATATGAAACAACTCGAAATTCATAGCTTAATCTGCCTAATATTCATAAAACGTTTGATATTCGCGAAATCTCAGAAATTCTTGAAATTTTGAGTTGCCATAAAAGTTAATGTTTTGATAATAGCAGATGCAAATACTACGTTTCTATTATCATGAAAATATAACACCATTCTTCCTTTCGCTGTAAAGTTAATCATATATCATATATTAAAAATACGTTATACGTCATGTCATTACAAGCTGATGTTATGTAACAGGCGCAGCAGAATAGCTAGTAACAATTGATATAATTATCTGCAATAACATGACCATTTTTAGTAACACAATGCAGTTCAACATAACAAGTTTTAAGTTTTGTCGGAAAATTTAAAGTTTTAACCGTGAACTTTGCCTGTAGCTGTTAGTTGTAGCTATGATTTATTTTCTTGTCTCACAAGTGTGTTACCATATTTAGTACGTATTTGTAACTCATTTCAGCATGTTCCCTTTTTATTCATTCGTTTGTACCTGAAACGTGTCTGCTCATTTCGATACACATTTTCTAAGCTGTTCTTTTGAACGTAAGCACTCGAGATCGTTTGCACCTGATAAGTTGACTTCCACGTATTAGTGGGAATTCAAAAACAGCTTTCATAGAAATGTTTTCGGCTTACTGTGAGTCTTAATATTCAGATACACGCACACGATACGTTTTCAAGGTCCAGAACATGCTTTAAAATTCATATGGTGTATTATGGTGTAACTGATGATTTTATGTATTATCTTGTATGCAGAGAGTGTTTATATAATAGATTATTTATATTTTTCATTGCCACTGATTTTTATGTTGCTGTTCGAGAGAATTTTTTACCTCGTAAGAATGCTGATTCCGGAAATCTGATAAAACAACAGTTTGCTTTAATTATTATACACATTTCTGTGAAGGTTTTGAACAGATATTGCTATTTATATGTTTTAGTTCTGCTTTGAAAATATTTTTGATTCCTGTATTTGGTAATTGTCATCGAAATCAAATAGTGTTATTTTCCTGAACTTTTACATACAATATTATATTAACAATAATCCAAATTCCTTTGTATGGATTGTTATGATAATATGTTCTAAGATCTCTAAACACTGACAGCTCATCTTGGGTTCCGGCTGGATTTTCATGGTTTTGCTCGTGTGTAGTATGGACATGAGCCAGTTTCCCTTAGAAAGGCCTTTTCCAAAAGAGTGTAATATGATGAACAGTTTAATTCATGAATTTCCGATATTAACTCCACTGTTTTGAGTGTTGTAGAATCATTCTCGGGTGCATTTTATGTCATAAAAATGAAACATTTTGCGTCCGCTCAGACGTTTCCAGCATTCTCAGTTTATTTATTTATTTATTTTTTTTTTCATTATGACACTTATGGCAATAGTGTAATATATTGTTAGATGCACGAATAACACTATCCCTAACAAACTATTCCGAAATCGAAACTGTTCAGGATTTATTTTCATCTTCGTGAGTAATAGGTAAGTATCAGTTTAGGAGCAGGAAGCGGATTGCAGATGACCCCGCAGGAGAGGAAAGTAGGGAGCTAGGTAGCTGATAAAGGTAAGGCCGGAGGTAAGAGCTATTTTGTGATATTAGATTATTTTTATTTATTTCCTGGTGGAACTTTCTATAATTACTTTTAACTTAAATTTGAAGTTTCTTAGCTTTTGTATTTTAATTCGTATTTCGAGTGTGTTATTCCGCAGTTAAGAATTCAAACGTATCCTTAATAGTGTTTTCTCTTACGACCACATTCACTGCTTATTTGCATAAGCAGTGAACAAGCAGTGAACGTTACTTTTAACCCTAGATGTAAAGTTTAAATTTCTTTCGTGCATTTTAAACTTTAGTTTTTTTATACTCTTAATTTTAATTTATTTCTTATATTTAATACTACATTTATTTTCCTCAATTTTAATAGTTAGCACTACAAAGTTTTATTGTTTCTTTCGATCAACACAGACTGTTTTTTTATACATTTTAGTAATTTCCAACAGGAATTTAATTTTAACTCTTATTTCTCATTTAATTTTACACAGACATTTCTTTCATACCTTTTTAGTAAATTCCAACATAGTTTTAATCTTATTTATTATATTTTACCAGCGTATTTACTCATATAGGTGTTTATTATACTATTCAATTTTATATGTAGTTTTTAACTTCTTTCATACATTTTAACGTTTGCAATTTTGGACATATTCTTAAATTTAACTAATCTGTTATATTTTCGCAACATAACATGAACTTTATTTATCGCATTATTTAAAAATGCAATTTTAACTAGTTTTATGCTCTTAATATCTGTAATTTTCTACATATTTTGATATGTTTTTACGATTTTAACTCTTTTGTTATAATTCTCGATCATAATAACCCTTTTATTTTACTAATTTTAATATTTATCTTAATTTTAGATGATTTTTCACCTGTTTAACTTTCCTAAACATATCTAGATTCTTAAGTTAAGCATTTCACTTTATGGCCGTTAATTATTATTCTTTTAAATCCATACTTTATTTTACAATTCCGTCTTAATCTATTTATATTTCGGATGTAAATTGATAAACGTATCCGGACTTGTTCCGGATATCTTCCCTTGCAAAAGACTGTTAATTCTTGGAGTGAAAACGGTTCAAAATATTTGGTTAATTTTTTTGCTTTTCTGGTATATTTATTCATGGAGTTTATACTTTCTGTTAACGCACAAAAATACTAACTCATTATTTGAAAATACTGGAAAATGTCAGAAGCTTTAATTTCAGTGTTCTTTGTTTTGCTTTGTTTCACTGTTTCAAAAATGCAGAAACAAAAAAAAGCTGCTGAAGCAGAATTTCTTTCCTTTCTCTTTTCTTAGATAAACTTTAATTTTATTTAACAGTAAAGATTTAACCCGTCCATTTCGCAATAGTAGTAAAATCCCGCCTGAGATGTAAATTTTCAAATTTAGTAGTAAAATCCCACCTGAGATGTTAGACTGTAAGCTAATGTTCTTATAATGTAAGTTTCTTTTCAAATTTATTGAATTATTAAAATTAATTAAATATTTAATGTTATATTAATTAAACGTAATAATATATATATATATATATCAAAAAGGAAATGTCGGATTTAAATTGAACATTTTTTGTTCCTTCTATATGAAGGTATATATATTTATCTATTTTGCCAACGCCGACTACCTATTCCGAATTCAGAACTTCTCATTATGAAAATATAATTCACCTATTATTTTAAATGAATATGGAAAACAGATTAACCTTTGCTACTGCTAGATTGTAACTGTGATCAGCATAAACATGAACGCCATGAGCGTATAGCTGGGGATATGCCATATCTTCATGCATGGCGATGATAAGTCCTGGCGTTACGCCGGTGTAATCGAGGTACTCATCGTGCTCAACATTGAGTACTAGATCCATATCTATCAAAAAATGAAACGAAATATATTAGAAACTTTGATGATAATTCAAGCGTCATCAGCATTTTGTTTTTAAACGAGTTGGACAGTTAAGTTAATATTAACATTTTGCGTCATTTTCACATTTAAGCAAAATTTAACAAACAATATAAATTCACTTGAATAAAAATTAAAAAGATCAAAAGAAGAGTAATCCGGTTTTAAATTATTTACTTTCTTTTTAAAGAGGAAAAAAGTATTAGACATACATACGTTTCATATTCAGTTGGATAGAATGTTTTTTGTTGTCGCAATACAGCGCGTAAAAGATTATTTTTTCGAAGGACAATATTCGTAGTTATAAGACAGATAATTCGAAGCTGCACCTACAATTTTGTTTTTGGAGTTAGTGCTTGAAATTGCAATGACTAGAAAAAAGACAAAAATTCCCAAAAGGTGAACCATTGCACATTAGTATTCTGGGGAATTTCGTAACTGTACAGGCTGAACAAGAAGAAAAAAATATCATTAGAAAGTGTGATTAGAAAATTTAGAATTTCCGTATACCGTATTTCCTCGAGTATTTTCTCCCCTATCGTTCTAAGGCCTAAGCTCTGAACCCTTCCTGTGTTGCACATAGTTTTCCCCTTTGAGGGATAGTTTATTGGTAAATTGTATTCCTTTGATTACATTTATTTTTATTCAATATATTCGATTTGTATTTGAATTTTTGTATTAACATATCATCCACTTTATTTTACCTTAGGTTTATTATTTCAAACGTATTTGTACGGAATTCTCGTTAAGCTACTCGGAAGGGGCAGGTGATCTCACACTTAAGAAACTTACCAAATATGTGATTTCACCTTACTTCTTCTATTTACGTTCCAGCTTATTGTAACCTTATGTGTTTTCTCTATGTATTGTATTGTATTGATCTCTTATGTATTGTAACCTTATGTGTATAGGCCCTCAAAGACCGGATCTTTTGATTTCCCCTTTCTCCTTTGTTCCTCCGATGTCCCTCTTAGGAACTTCGGGGAAGATTCATCCATGTTAGGTGCCTTTGGGTCTTTCCGTCAGATATCGATTCAATATCCATTAGATATTGTAATGTTAATATTACTATGTATTCTTACTGAAATGAAAGTTTCCTTCAAAGAAATAATATTATAATAATTAACAGTAGTTTATCCATGGCTGCTTTTTATTTGTTACATTGTTACTGTAAACGCATCCTTTGGAAATTAAATTACTCACATAATTTTCCGCTCTCGATTTTCGATCGATAAAATTGGTTAAAAAGGGTTAAAGGTTAAATACGCAAGAAAATACCGTGCTATTAATATTCAATCCAAGAACAAACCAAAGAATAGAATTCGAGTTCTGGAATTTTTTTTTCTTTACTTTTTTTTCTTTACTTCTTAAGCAACTTCTCAACAAGACTTCAAAGCGACAAATTTTAAGTAACTCTGTGACATATTACTTTAACTAACAATCGTGCTTTATAATGGTATCAAACTGGTAGATAAAATTCGCTCAAAGCAATATAACTACCAGTACAGGATAATTTGTATACATGTAATATGAATGTTACCTTTTATTTCTTGCCAGGCGTCTGGTTCTGTTACATATAACCTAGGTCTCAATCCACCTCCAGATGAGAAAGCGTAGCAGTTACCAAGATGAGGGTCATAGAGATAAGTGAAATATCTGAAAACACAGAAATTATTTAAAATAAATGGAAAACTTTTATTTTGTAAATTTCTGATAAAAGAAACAGAGGCATAAACGAGATATCTGAAAATAAAGATATCAACGAAATTCGCAAAATATTTCTGAACGTAAATAGTTCACACAAAATTACACTGAACAATAACCATGTATGATATCCGAAGTTAAAGAAACTTGTAGGATTTTATGCTAATTAACCAGTAACTATGATATGAATCTTTAATTAACTTCTATCCATAGTCCTCATCAGAATGCAAATTAATTGTTGAGTATTTAAGCCGAAAGTATGAATGCTTTAAAGCTTCTGGCAACCTCGCTTATCGTTATGTGCTATCTAGCGCCAGCTCTGCCAAAGCTTATTCCGTCTTTAGCCACTTCGCTAGCCGACGTTAAAACGGTGCCTTTCGTTGCTTGAGCCGCTAGCCGAAGTTAAAAGCGCCCCGTTCGTTGCTTGAGTAAGCTTAAGTAAACTATTGTATAGTTTCAGGCTATGTTACTTGAGTTTAAACTTCCAAATATCAAGAGTACAATAAAGAGGTTATTTTAATCTTGTTATGACTTTGTCATCTTAATTCATCATGGAGCGATACCTCGCTTGTTACTCTAGTATTCTCTGAAGGGTATTGAACAAACCTCAAGACAAAGCAGAACCTTAAAAACTAAGTTTTGAAAATTTTGCTGCACTTAGTACAAATATAATAATTGCAACTTTTATTACCTCATGTTTGGTATCTCATGTTTGGCTAGAGGTAAACGTGTTGAATCAGTATAAACCAACGAGGTTAGAATAAACGGAGTAAGCCTTCCCCGTATGTCTCGTGCAATGTAAATTAAGCCAAAACACGTCACGGTTTCATGGCTGCTGCCATATGTAGACTTCTGACTGGTTTTGTTTAAATCCTAATCGGTGTTAGCTATTCATCAATGAACGTTTGTAAGTCTCTCGTTCTAATTTTAATAATTAACATAAATGATTTTTTACTTAGTATGCAGACAGTTCCTAAGGATTGCAAATAACTGTTATATATTTAACAAAATCTAGGTGTATGAAAATGTGTGAATGGTAATCATAAGAAAAATGCATACATGGTAAAACCTGGAAAATCAGAAGTAGTTCCAATATGGTATTTTATGCAAATTATATCTAAAGACACTTTTCTCAGCCTGCGGACGTTGATATTTGCTTTCAAGTTCACTGTAATTTTATTTGAGAATATGTTTCGTAGTCTTATCCGTAGGATGTACAGTGGCACGATACGTCGTGACGTCATGTTGCTGAGATTTCCTTCGTTTCACTTTTGTGAAGTCATGCTTAGTCCTTCTGTTCTAACCTCCTTCCCATAAATGGCGTATCACTTTTCAAATTGTTGCCAATAAATATTATCGCCCTCTATTATATTAAAAAAATAAATAATGAATAATCTGCATTTATGTATGCCTGTTTCTTGCACTGTGAATAAAAATCAGTACATAGAGTTATAAAACTTTGAATAATGTTATCGTTCTCCACTTGAACATGGGCACCTGGAAACCCGAATTTTGAATTTCGAATTTGTTTTATTATCCATTTCACATTTTGTAAAATAATAACGAATTTTCGATAAACAAACTCAAAGTGAGCAGTTGCAACACACTGTGCGAAAACACATTTTTATCTCCAGTGCGCAAAACTGTCTATCGGAAATTCTAACGATATGCTAGTTAAAAATATTTTGTGATATTTGTGTTGATTGGAATTTTACGTGGCGTAGCGCCAAGAATGTGACATTTAATAAATAAAGTAAACAAACAAAACGTTAATAGTAAAAAGACAAAAAAAAATGTTTTGTAAAGCCAACTTAGTTAAAAAAAATTGAACATTGATGTGATAAACTGAGAAAAAACTGAAAAACACAGAAAAACGAATGCCAACACAACGCTGCATCAGGAAATTTAAACGTATACTGCTATAAACTATAATTTTTCTTTTTATTCTATAAAGGAAAAGTGCATAGAAAATGCTGCTAAATAATAAAGCTAAAAAGAATAGAAAAAAAAAAAAAAGTTTAACAGGAGTGAATGTGACTGCAGACTGGGAGACTGTGATGTCAGCAGGAGAATAAAAAACCTTAACAAACCCTTTTGAGCGACCATTAAAAGCTGAAAATTTTCCGTTATTTATTTTTTACTTTTATTTCTCTAAATAACTGTTAAAATAATAACTAGATAGCAGAGAGGCGCAGGAGAAGCGTACTGGAGCCGTTACCCAGAGGTCCGCGGATCGTAACCGTTGTCTGCAATAATTACTTTACTATTTTTCCCAAAATTTCTCTTAAAGATATGTTTAAAAACTACGCTCTGCTAGTATCCTTTTACGTTTTATTTGATCAAAATATTTCTTTAAAATAAGATTTAAAATCTAGATTCATACGAAGATACTTCGTAGCAGAATGCGCAATGGAAGCGTGCTAGGACCATAAGCCCTGCATCGAAACCACGCTGTCCTACAATATTTTAGAAATATTAGCTTTTTGTCCTCTAAAGATCTCTTAAAATAATGTTTAAAATCTAAGTTCATATAAACACGCTTCGTAGCAGAGTGGCGCAGTGGAAGCGTGCTGGGCCCATAACCCAGAGGTCCGTGGATCGAAACCACGCTCTGCTAATGTTTTTTTTTTTTTCTTTCAAAGATCTCTGAAAACAAGTAATATATATAAAAAAATTAAAGTCAATTCCTAGTTAGGTCAGCAAAGAAAGATTATATTTTAGGTACTTTTTATTAACATTATTAACATCTTTTCGTTTCTAATTTATGAAGCTTATGGGGGTCTATAATTTCTCATTCTATCCATCTCTTGTAATGCTCCATTATTGCAACGAACCTTTCCAGTGAGTTTCGAGCAGTCCAGTTCTTCAATTAATATTCCATCTAATGATTTCACACGACTCAAGGCGAACTTACCTGCTGCGACCTATTGTTCATAAGAAGCTTTTCTTAGCGCTTATGTTTTTCTTTCTCTAACCGTCGCTTGCATTGAATTGTAGTTTATTTTAACAAACGAGGGACATTCTTAAAGTGGGTGATATTTTAAGCATATATTATTATCCCGTTATCACAGAAATATGGGGAGAATTTTGCTACATAATGACACATTACATACGCTCCATCCAACTCTAACTACAATTCTTTAATTCCGTACACTTTAAAAATCTTTAGAACTCTGTCTTACTGTTGCTATTTATTTTTTTTACTTCCTTGTACGAAGTAAGAAGGAAGTATTGTAATCGCGAAAAGTTTCAGGCAGTATATTTCAACGAAAATATTCATTTTGATCGCTATCGAATGCAATTTAAGGATTTAACGATTTTGCAGTTACATCTGTACGTAAGGAACAGAATAAAAGATTTTTTTCCTCCCCTCCAAAAAAAATTATAAAACTGCATTAAAATGAATTCTGAAGAGAATTTTTCTTGGTGTCGGTACGTACGTACGTACGTATCTCTCATAACTCAAAAACGAGTAGTCCTCAGAAAGTTGAAAATTTTGTTATATAGGACTGCTATAACATGTAGATGTGCACCTCGTATTGTGGTTATAATATACCTCACCAAACATATATAAATATTTATCTATATATATCCACTTCTGTGTTACCCGGCTCGGTGAGTGATCTCAGTTTCTTTACTCTTATATGTTTGTAAATTGTGCATTTTTTGCTTTAAAAATGATTGAATTATGTTATTCTTATCTTCCGGTTAAGGTTTTTATGCCTTTAGTTAATCTGTATGCAATAAATTTAGAATTATAAACAATTTTAAAGTTAAGACACAATAAACACCCGAATAAATACTGATTCAGAAGTCAAACAAACAAAATCAGCGTTAATTCACAAAATTTTCACAGGACTAGTTTCGATGGTTTTACCGAACCATCATCTTCAGCTGCAAAACCGCAAATGAACAAGATAGGAAATAATGTTTAGATAAGATGAAAGACTGAAAATTTTTTGAAAGATAGGAAATAATGTTTAGATAAGATGAAAGACTGTGAAAATTTTGTGAATTAACGCTGATTTTTGTTGTTTGACTTCTGAATCAGTATTTATTCGGCGTGTTATTGTGTCTTAATTATAGAAGCTCCAAACAGGCTTACATTTTGCTTTCTTTTTTGCACGTGGTGTGGCCGCCATTTTGTGATTGTAGGAGTTTCGGTGAGTACATTTTTGCAATTTTCAAGTTATGTTTATGTTTTGTACATTTGGATATTGTGCTTTGCTTGTCTGATTTCATGCATTTTGCTTACAAAGATTTTTGTTTTCTATTCATTTCAGTGAGAGATTTTTTCTGCTATTTTGTGTGTACTTTATTATTGCTCAGTTAATTTAGTTTGATTTTCTGCATTGTTTATCATGCCTTCATCCGTTAATAGTTTCACTAAATTACGCCTGAAACGGCAAAAATTCCTGAATCATCTTGACTTTTTACTTAAATGTAAATGTAAAAAATTGATCCCCAATTTTATTCAAATCAAATCTAATCAAGAACCTTCGAGTCGCGTTTCAAGAATTCTGTTAAATTGCAAACTTGCTTTACTTCGGTCCGTGAACAATTGTCCAAAATTGAACATGAACTCTATAAGCTTCATCTGGAACTCGCTAAAACATATCCAAAATTCACTGCCCTTGAACAAAAGTCTTGGTCTAGAACGGAGAATGCAGTTAACCGTCATAAAAACACCCTTGCAGTTAAATTCGAAAAACTTCTTTTACAGTCTTCCACTTCAAGTAGTTCAAAAAATCTTCCCATTGTAAACATCAAGCCAATAGTTAATATTTATAATGTTAGTCTTTCAGAAGAACAAGAGAGAATTCTAAAATATAATTTTAACTTCTCACAAACCTGTAAACCCTCGATTCCAAAATTTTGGCTCCTATCGAAAAAAGCTTTCAAGTTCAGTAAAGTTTCAGATTCACAGAAAGAAATGATTAGGCATCTTATCG